AACATGAATTCATAGAAAAAAAACATAACAGAAAAGGGAGTCCTAACTTCTCTTCTGGGATATGATGCAGTGTAATCCCAGAAGATAGAAATCTTCATAACCACCGGTGTGAGAACTTAAAACCCTGTGTCATGGGAAACAATTCATTGCCTTTTCTTTTTCAGAGGTTAAGAGACGAAGACTAAAGAAGAGAAAAAGGGAGAAAAGTGAGTGTGTGTGTGTGTGCGTGTGAGCAAGCCTTACCAATCTACAGTAATTAACATCAATATGCAGTGCTGCGGGCAAGGGCAGCTGTGGACGACCACTGGATAATTACCACTAGCTCCGAGGGATAGTAGGAAGTTTAACAACAACAAAAAGAAAAACACAAAAGGCCCTCAGGCAAGTCCAAAAGAGTCTTTTGAGTGTAGCCATTTCAAGCGTGGACAAGTGAAATGGATCACTGTACACTGGGATATGCGATTCAATTCTGCAAGTGGGAGGTAGAAGTTGACACGTTCTGCTTATATCTGCAAATGGTATGAAGATTTTGGATCGTGTTTCTTGTAAGATCAGCAGTTTCTGCTGCTGACGTGATAACGTCAGCAGATACTTGTCCTTTGCAGGCTTCATCTGCGAGCAGCAGCCCTACATGCAAGAGCAGCAACGAGCATTCTTAGATGCAATTAACCCTCTTTATCCCCGTGGTCACTGTACGTACCACCATATAATAAAATTCTGCAGTCTGCTTACAGAGTGAATTTTGTGTGTTTCGTGTGGTTCTCACAATAAATATCGACTGTTTCCCTAAACAGCATTAACCGGTTGGTCTTTGTAGCGGAGGCATGGCGTCTTTACTATGAGGTAACAGGCAAATTCAGAACAAATTAGAACAAATTCAGTCTTCAAATGATTTGGTGACAGACCCGTCTTCCCGTCAGTGAGGGCGTCTCAGATCGACGAAACCGCAACTGACAATAACAAGAATCCTGTCATATAATTCATATAACTCAGAAGATTATAATGTAAGTGGTCAAAGCCATAAAACCGTACATATCATAAATTGTGTTTTACAAAAGCATCTAAGAAAAATCACTTGCAGTAACAGGAAACTGAAGATAATTGCACAAGCCTAAGCAGGAGATTTATATAAGATTTGAGGCTTTCACGGCGGTGACTATGAAGAAAGTAGTCTTCTGGGATTTGGCACCGTGTATATGTGGTGTTATCCGACGTTTCGGAGGAACGTATCGCCTCCATCTTCAGGGTAGAAGAAAAAATATAAGAAATCTGCAAAGCGAAGAGACCGTGAGAACCGGTAAAATCAGACTGTGACCGAAACGTCGGTTAACACCACATATACACGGTGCCAAATCCCAGAAGACTGTTTTCTTCAGGAGATTTATAGTTTGTACTTTCCACTGAATATCTTCAGGGTGATCAAATAAATAAGGATGGAATGGGCGGGTTACGTAGCAAACGTTGAAGAGAAGAGAAATCATAAAATTTTAGTAGCAAATCTGAACGGAATAGAAAAATTAGAAGGCATAGACTTAGATGGAGGGCTAGTAATATTAAAATGAATCTTAATGGGATGCGATATGTGAGTGTGAACTGAATTGATTTGGCTTATGATGGAGACCAGTGTTGGGCTATACCATAAGGTAAATAACTATTTGAAATTCCATAAAGAGAGTGGATTTTCTCGACTATGTGAGTGCCTACTAGCTTCTAAAGTAGGATTTTCTCCATTGATATTGTAACGTGTTTACGTTACCGAAGACGCCGTAGAGATGGTTAACTGGTTTATTTAACAATCTACAAATAACGGCTACAATTACTTATCACACAGTTGCGGGGTTTCACACTTTATAACCCTAATCGCATTAATCTGTTAACACTGTTGCGGGGTTTCACGATTTATAACCCTATGCGCAAATCAGTTCACTCTGTCTTCAGTAGTAACACGTTTACCGTAGGGGAGCTTTGTAACACTGTATCACACGCTCCCGATTACACAATTACACACACGCCCGGATCTTCTTTCCGCGACGGCTGCTATACTCCAACTTGTAGTCGGCTGGCTGTTACTTTATAACTCGGCGGCTGTCACCGTACAACTGAAGTCGCCGACTGCTACAGTAGAACTCGCTGGTAGCCACATTAGAACTCTCTGACTGTGAATAGCCTTCGCTGCTCCGTATGTAGCCTCGATCGGACAATACGGGAAAACAGCCACGTAATAGGCACCCTTTTTGCCTGGCGCTGTGTTGCTATGTAACGCTAGCGGAGGTCACCGCTGTTACTATCGTAACGTCGCCGCTGTTGATTCGCGTTGCCTAGCGACCGCGATATCCGTCGGTGACGTCACCGCGGAGGGGAGTGGCGGGGCGGGAACTCGCCTATTACCGTAGTAACGCGAGCGTTATGTTACCGCCACATACCGCTGGGGAGGTAGGGGTCAACATGTCACAATATATATGTAGCAATCTCTAGCAAGATAATTATTTCATTATCAATACAATTACAACATTTTTAAATAGGTGATAATTTCACAGGTAAACGAACAATTACATAACTAGCGGAAACACAAGTAAATGTACCATAACTCGAATTTGAAAACAAAACTCTGGGATACCTGACACGCGCATTTCGATCAGACTTGTGTAGCGGCAACGATGTAGACTTGTATTCGGAAAGTAACCGATCGAAATCTCGGTTGGTTACGGACTGTTCCGGTTGAGGTCTGTTGAAATTTTCCGTGAGCTTTTCAAGCAAACATCAGGATAATGCCTCAAAACAAGCCAAGATCGCACACCTCTAAGCTTTAATCTACCCATAATTCTTTATCGGCTTCCGGTCTTACTTGACGCTGTAGTAGTGACGGAATCTCTGATGTCCTTTGTGAACTGAAGTAGCTGCCCTGTGTCGCCTCAGAACTTCCTACAAGGCTCCACATGAATCGGCCCCTTAAGCAGATCAACCCAGAAGGATCAAGACAATTCAAGAAGCTATTATAAAGTGGGAACAGGCTTCAGCTTAATCTGTGGACTAACCCCGGCTCCTTCTACGAAACTCTGGTACATTTCTACCAAACCACACGGCGTAACATACCATCGTCTTAATATTTCCCTCTACGAGAATCTCAAATCTCACGTACGTCGCCTGTCACGATCATTTGTAACACTGGCACGTGACGCCGTGTAATCTGATAGAAGTTCACCGACATTTAGGCGGAAAATACTCATTCCATTTTCAGGACAGAAGAGCAAGCCGGGAAAGCAAGTAGCAAGCACAGTGTTTACTGCGCAGTGAGTTCCTCCGAAACGTCGGTAAATTATTGCCATACTACATGGCGTCACACCCCAGAGGACGGAGGCACGCGGTAGTATGGTTGGTTGAGTCACTATGCTACAAGGCGGAAGGTCGCAGGTTCAATCCCCGATGAGGTCATTCGATTTCTTCAATTGACCTAATCCTTTCAGCCGCACTATGGCCTTGGACTCGACTCAGTCTCTAATGGAAATGAGTACCAGGATTCATCGTGAGGTTAAAGGGTAGCCGGCGCGTGAGGCTGACAACCTCACCGCCATCTGCGTGCCGATTGTCTAGAAAATGTGGGAGCCTCGAAGTCTCACAACCCTATGGGTGTCCACTACCTGTTACAGAAATACCTTCTTCTTCTTCTTCTTCTTCCTAGAACACATTTCCTTCCATAGTCACTGCCAGGAGGAAACCTCAGGCAGTGAGCAGTACCATCGGGCAAGACTATTCGTTCCCACGTTCCACGACATAGCAGTGATCCTGGTAGTTACCGAAGTGAAGACTTCAAATCGGATACAATCATCACCCCCTAATCGACGATTCAATCTACAGGCACTTTCACATTACAACCAAACGATCGAAGAGTACAGATAGCTCAATCGGTATAGCGACGGGCTATGGGCTGGACGGGCGTGGATCGATTTCGGGCAGGGGCAAGAGATTTTTCTCTACTCGACAGCGCCCAGGCCGGCTCTGGGGCCCACTCAGCCTCCAGCACAGTAGGTATTTGATCCTTCCCCGCGGGTAAATCGGACGAAGAGTGATGCTAACCACTTACCTCCATCTAATACCGAGGTCAAGAATATTGGAGCTATACATCCATTCCCCCTTATGTCTCCATGGCATGGTGCTTAATTAATTAAGCACAGGGACAATTTCACCTTTATCTTTTACCGAAATGATCGTCTGATCATCTTTCCCCAGTCAATCAACAATCGCCATTGCCTTCGCCCACTGGTGGTGTTCATAACCTCATTCATATCGGTCAGCCACTCTGGTACTGGTTTTTCGTCACCTTTGGCAGCTTTCTGAATAAAATTAGTGAAATTATGGGCCCTACAATGGAAAGAAAATCAATTACTAAAACTGGGTTCGTTAGTCAACGTATCGTTAATCGACGACATTTCTTGGAACCAATTAACGTCAACTAATGGTGGATGGTTGTAGTTGATTGGCCTGGTTCTGCGACATTTATGTGTTTTGATGTCATCTTCCTTGTTATGACTAATTCACGCAAGCGGGCGTCCCATGTACAGTGCTTATATTCATGTAAGTGAAACCCTACAGTAAGGTAAAACGAAACACAAGAAAAACATTCACAGATTCCAGTTCGGCCCAGCCAAGCCCTCATCTCCACAGCTGAGTAGAGAGCAGTTTAAATTACTGTCCGCTGAATTTGTATTTGTGTGCTATGTTCGTCTAGTGAATTTCTACCAGCTCATCCAATCAGCTGACGTTTTCTCAGAAACGCTCAGTATACTTCAGGTTGTAACTGTTTCAATTATCTGTTCTGCCAATGATATACAGTGTCGTTTCACTGATGAATTGCGTGAAATGACGCACAATAAAACCGTGGAAGATCCAACAGCAATATTATTACACGAATGTTGATCTTGGATGTGGCTGGACAATAGAAACGATGACGTGACATGACGTCATTCGCTGTTGAGTCAAGCGCGCGGGCTTGTTTCACACCTTGCTTCGGCAGCTGCAGTCGCGTACTAGAGTACGCATGGAACGAAGTGTGTTAGTGCTGTGTGGTGTGGTCTAGAGAGTAGGTGTGCTGTGGGATGCGCGGCAACATTGTTACGGAGTTACAGAATCAACAATATAGTGAGTAAGACGAATGCATGTCTAACTTTAATTCAGTCTTAACTTCAATATTCCATGTTCCGAGTTCTTCATGTCTTTACGTCAATATGAATAATTTTTTGGAATAACCATTATCGCTGGAACACCAACAGCCGTCTTCTTCCCGAATTCACTCCATTTCGCCAGAATCACTACAGTTTTCTCTAACGGAGAATAAAACTCTGATCAAACTACTGCAATTTAGCCGACCGTCTAATATGGTTTTTTGTAAGATTCGAGGTTTTCACGACGGTGACTATGAAGAATGCCGTCTTCTGGAATGTGGCGCCGTGTAGATATTGTGTAAACCGACGTTTTGGAGGAAGCAGCTGCCTCCATTTCCAAGGCAGAAGCAGACTACATTCTCATTCCTGTGAAAACGTAAAATTCTGTAATACGCCAATGTGTGTTACAAAGTGCTGTGACCGCAAGCAACACCAATTTAAAAGTTTAAACCACAGTGGTTACTATACGCACCGCTTTAAATTGAAATAGTTCTGCAATTTCCCCCCAGAGTGTATTTTTTGTTTCGTACAATTCTCAGAATAACTCCGTATTTCCCCTAAATGGCATTGCTCATCGGTTTCTTTTATTGAGACACGCCATGTTTTCTGTGAGATCATTTTTAAAAAAATATGTAGATCAGTTCCTCGCATCAAAAGTAACTCTTACGTCATCAATAGAACTGCATATGCACCCATGGACTCTTCACGCAGCGCTAGAACTCGGCCCGGCAGAACTGGTGTGCTGCGATAGTGGCTTATGGTCGAGATATGATGCTTCATTATTCACAGTACCGATAATACACCTAGCTTCCGAATTTAGCATGTCTTAATATAAACGCCGTAAAATTTTTAACGACCGACACTCTTTCCTTTATCTTTAGAAGATTTGTTAATGTGACCCATAAGGACTTAGTTGTCTAGGTTCATTTTTCCGATCATCATCCTGTTCAAATCATGTTCTTGTTATTATATAGATTTGTTCTGTTAAGAACTACGCCATGAAGACGCATGGACCAATGAATATATAGATCCAGGTTTTCTTGACTTCGGCACTAGTTGGAGGTGAGTGGCCAGCTCCACGTTCCTGTCGCTTTACCCCCGGGGAAAGAGTCCCCTATACCCACTGGATAGGAGGCTGGGTGGGCCCCAGAACCTGTCTGGAACAGAGAAGCGAAAATTCTTGCCCATAACGGGACTCGAACTCCGACCCTTAACGACTGAGCTATCCCGGCTCCCTGTTATTACGCAGATATTTATAAGAAACAATTACGAATCGATTCTTCCTGACAGTATAGCCTATGATAAAAAAAACAGAATGGCAGGGTTTTATTTCCCGGTAGGGGTAAGAAACTTTTATCTACTCCACACAGTCCACAATTGCTCTTGGGCTTAGCCAACTTGTTATCAAACTGGTACCGAGGGCTCTTTCTGTGGGGTTAAAGCGATCGTGGCGTGAAGTTAAAGACTCACTTGCTTCTAGTCCCGGGTTGAAGAACGGTAATACGTTATCATGGCGTGAGGTTTAATTAATTAAACGCAGGAAGAATTTACCGCTTTATAGCCTGTGTGGGTATCTAAATTATTTCTATTAATAAGACATCGTTACGAGATCACGGAATGTTATAAAACATCTACCAATTAAGCTGACTTTTCACGATATTTCTGAATGCATTTTCGGTGCATTCGCCATTACAATATCTGTATCAAAATGACGGCATTAGCCGTAACGTTTCGAGAACCAGCGGCAGCGCGTCCTGTCACAGAATCTAATGTCTAACCAAGAAGCGGGCTGTAACCCAAGGCGCGTGTCGAGGTTTGGATTGTCACATTCTGAGTATGATACCTGACGTGTGAGGAGGAAGCTTACTATTCCCATTATCCTGACGATGGTGACAGCAGTTTCCTTCGAAACGTCGCTAATAACGTAGCAGTCTACACGGTGTCGTAAAGACAGTCTGCTTCTCTGTCGTCACACATGTCAACAGTTCATTGGAAGTCTCGTCGGAAACAGGACAGACGTACCAGTTTTGAATATCCGTGTTTCCCAGACGCATTCTTTGCGATTTTATATACGTCAATGACCTTATTGTTTCTTTGATACAGACACGTTTATGACTGCATGTACTAATCTGTTGTAGCGTAGCTGTGACACTAGAGATATCGCACTGCAAGAAAAGGCATTGCGAATTAAAGTTGTGTGTCTTAACGAGTTTTAAGTAAGCTACTCGACATTCGGCACCAAACTTCACAATGAGCCGTCTTGAAGAAAATGACGAATTTCTGTTTGAGCTTCATGTGAAGTTGGGGTCATATCGGACTAAAACGAAATCAAAATCAAAACAGCGGGGCACATTTTGGTAGATAAGTGTTAAATTTCCTCGAATTTTTTCAGTATTTCGAAAATGAAACATTCGGTGTGAGAGGTACAACCTCCCCGTCATGTATTCATTTGTGAATCAAGTATTATTATTATGAACATTATTATTATGAACTCGGAACATTCGTAACTTCACCACGTTCACTTGCTTTTCTAGGCGCTGCCCTTCTGTTCACGCAACAGTAGGCGCTCGTGTTGCTACTCGGAACATTCGTAACTTCACCGCGTTCACTTGCTCTTCTAGGCGCTGCCCTTCTGTTCACGCAACAGTAGGCGCTCGTGTTGCTACTCGGAACATTCGTAACTTCACCGCGTTCACTTGCTCTTCTAGGCGCTGCCCTTCTGTTCACGCAACAGTAGGCGCTCGTGTTGCTACTCGGAACATTCGTAACTTCACCGCGTTCACTTGCTCTTCTAGGCGCTGCCCTTCTGTTCACGCAACAGTAGGCGCTCGTGTTGCTACTCGGAACATTCGTAACTTCACCGCGTTCACTTGCTCTTCTAGGCGCTGCCCTTCTGTTCACGCAACAGTAGGCGCTCGTGTTGCTACTCGGAACATTCGTAACTTCACCGCGTTCACTTGCTCTTCTAGGCGCTGCCCTTCTGTTCACGCAACAGTAGGCGCTCGTGTTGCTACTCGGAACATTCGTAACTTCACCGCGTTCACTTGCTCTTCTAGGCGCTGCCCTTCTGTTCACGCAACAGTAGGCGCTCGTGTTGCTACTCGGAACATTCGTAACTTCACCGCGTTCACTTGCTCTTCTAGGCGCTGCCCTTCTGTTCACGCAACAGTAGGCGCTCGTGTTGCTACTCGGAACATTCGTAACTTCACCGCGTTCACTTGCTCTTCTAGGCGCTGCCCTTCTGTTCACGCAACAGTAGGCGCTCGTGTTGCTACTCGGAACATTCGTAACTTCACCGCGTTCACTTGCTCTTCTAGGCGCTGCCCTTCTGTTCACGCAACAGTAGGCGCTCGTGTTGCTACTCGGAACATTCGTATCTTCAGCATGTTCACTTGCATTTCTAGGCACTGCCCTTCAGCTAGATGTGTTTCAACCGCAAATGCAGTTTGTAAACTGACAGATATTTTTAGGAACTCATCTTTGAGTGTTGTAAGCCAAAACTGATACATTTTTCTTGGTTTTCATTGTCTCCTTTATTGTTCCTGTTGCTTTTATTTGTTTACTGTCATACCGGTTTCGTTGTTTGCATTCGAGCTGACTGTGTAATTAGTCATTGGCTGTTGAGCTCATCATGTAAATAAATAAAGAATTGAATTGAATTATTACATCACTGCAAGGAGCAGAGTTCGTCTTGAGAAGCTCGCCTAGTCAAGAAATTCCTCGAATTTTATGGAACCCGAAGATTCATTATTGTGTTCACGAGAGCCATTATTATTGCCATCATCACCACCATTCTTCTTCTTCTTCTTCTTCTTCTTCTTATTATTATTATTATTATTA